AGTGCTGGGATTACAGGCGTGAGCCACCATGCCTGGCCTCAGTTATTTGCTATTACAAGTGCTGCAGTGTGTAGCCTTCCAGACACTTTATTAAGCTTTTATAAGTATGATGGTATTTTATGGAATCTGAAACCCCATTGATTATAAGAGACACCTTTACTCCATATAACAGTAAAAAAGAAAACACCCTAGCAATTAACTGTAAAATTCCATTGATTATAAAATGAATCTCAATTTCAGAGCTGTAAAATGTAAAAAAGTATACATCTTAACATTTAGGAAATTAAAATCTCATGTAATCCTCATAACAACCTAAAAGGAAAGTGCATATAACTATCATGAGCCCCATAAAGAAACAAACCTTTTCTTGATTTTGGCTCTAATATCTTTTTAAAAAATACTTTTTAATATTTTAAAAATAGAGACAAGGGCTTACTCTGTTGGCGAGGCTGGTCTCAAACTCCTGGCCTCAAGGAATTCTGCCTTGGCCTCCCAAAGTGCTGGAATTACAGCCATCATACCTGGTCATTTGGCTCTAATCTCAGCCCCAAGAACTATGCTGAGTATGTAATAGGCGCTTAAATATTTGTTGAATGAATGAATGAGCCCCCATTTTACAAATGAGGAAACTCTGAGGTGTAAAAGGTAAGAAGCCTGACTGAGAGCAATCGTTTACTGCCAGAGCCTGGATTTGAACCAAGAAAGTTATAACTCATACCTGCTGCACTCCCCACCATAAATTCATGAGTACCCAGGCAGGCATAGTGGCTCACATCTGTAATCCCAGCCAGCACTTTGGGAGGTTGAGGTGGGCGGATTGCTTGAACTCAGGGGATCAGCTTGGGTAACATGGTGAAACCTGGTCTCTACCAAAAATACCAAAAAAAGCCTGGGCACGGTGGCTCATGCCTGTAATCCCGGCACTTTGGGAGGCCTAGGTGAGCGGATCACTTGAGGTCAGGAGTTTGAGACCAGCCTGGACAACATGGTGAAACCCGATCTCTAAAAAAAAAAAGAATTAGCTGAGCATAGTGACATGAACCTGTGGTCCCAGCTACATGGGGCTGAGGCGGGAGGAGGATCCCTTGAGCCTGGGAGGTGGAGGTTGCAGTGAGCCAAAATCCAGTCTAGCCATTGCACTCCAACCTGGTGACACCGTGAGACCCCATCTCAAATAATAATTCATGATTACTAGTTAGAGAGGGCCCTGAATAATCCTATTGCTTTTCTCTGGTCAACTTGCCCTCCCACCATGGAGCAACAATTATTGTAAACCCTCACTCCTTCCAAACCTCAAAGATCCTCTCTCCCAGCTCCCCTTGACCCACTCCCAGAGTGATTAGAGAACCTTGCCTCCTGTTGCATAGGCAACACAAAGTCATGACATAAGAACCCTCTCCGCTTCTTACTGAACATGCAAATCTTCCTGTATTCTCAGTAATTCTCTCCTCCTTCCCTCTGTGCCTATATAGGATGTGCCCTTTGTCCTACCAAAGGCTGATTCCTCCACTGGGGCTGGGGATTCTATCTCTCTTGCCTTCCTTTACACTAGTAGTTACCTCTTTTTCCCTGTAAATTCAACCTGTCCCGCTGTATGAATTAGGATTCAGCTTGGCTGCATAGAAGAAAAAAATCAAATGAATTGTGGCTTAAATGAGAGAAATGTTTTCGCTCTCCTGTATTTATTTAAATTTTAATTTGTCTGAGTATGTGATGCTTACACATTGTATAAAAATTAGAAGGTACAGCTGGGCGCGGTGGCTCACGCCTGTAATCCCAGCACTTTGGGAGGCCGAGGCAGGTGGATCACGAGGTCAAGAGATCNTTTTTTTTTTTTTTTTTGTAGAGACAGTTTCACCATGTTGGTCTTGAACTGCTGACCTCAAGTGATCTACTGGCCCTGGCCTCCCCAAGTGCTGGGATTACAGGCATGAGCCACTGAGTCTGGCCAAAAGTTAACAGTTTTATAAAATATCAAATATCATCATTATTATCACATGAAGTAAGAAGACTATGTGTTCTTAGAAAGGACGAACATAAGCATTTGCAAGAAATACTCAAAGATTTTTGGTTTTAATTTTTATCCTTGAAGTCAGCATTCTGAAAAACAGCAGGAGTTCTGCAGAGGTGCTTAGAAATCAGGAATGAGGGTAGCAGCCTTCAGTTTTATATCGAAGAGTGATTTCATTTAAACACCAGATCTGGAGTTTTAAAAAGGGGGAAAAAAGTTTGAAAACCATGACTGCAGATGTATATGTTTAAATCCTTTCAGTATTAACTGATTGATGGTGACCTTCCCTTGAATTCTAAAGTGGAGAACTGGAGGCTCTTCTATGGTGAGGCAGTCAGACCCATAGCTGGGCTGAAACCCACTGTCAGGAGTGTTAGCTTTGAACCATAATGGCCCAAGTTTATAAGAGCCAAGGATATAGTTGTGTTTGTATCCCTTGGAGATTATTCTTAAGCAAAAGGACAGTGATGGGGTGGGAGGAGAGTGCACTTGGGATGTGTGTTTGTCCTTATAAGCAAATGCATGATCATGTTTTCACTCAGTGTTATAATGCAATAATTATTTTGGAAGAAAAATTTCACACCGGGGCTATATCAGCATTTTTCACAAGGATTTCCTGCCTGTTTTCTGGGCTGCCTTACTCACTCTACTGTAAAATCCTTGAAGGGAAAGACTCTGGGTTGTTTACCTTTGTGCCACCAGCACCTTAGCAATACCTGGCAAAAATATTTGAAATACTTACAAAATTTAATAATCTGGCAAGCTACCAACAAAATGATAGAAAGCATTAGCAGGTGCCATTTGTGGATTTTTTTTTTTTTTTTTTTTTGGGTTTTTTTTTTTTTTTTTTTTTTGTTTTTTTTTTTTTTTTTTTTTTTTTTTTGAGGTGGTGTCTTGCTCTGTTGCCCAGGCTGGAACGCAGCAGTGAGATCTCAACTCACTGCAACCTCTGCCTCCCAGGTTCAAGTGATTCCCCTGCCTCAGCCTCCCAAGTAGCTGGGACTACAGGCATGCACCACCACTTGCGTAGAGATGGGGTTTCACACATATTGATCAGGCTGGTCTTGAACTCTTGACCTCATGATCTGCTAGCCTTGGCCTCCCAAAGTTCTGGGATTACAGGTGTGAGCCACCTCGTTCAGCCCATTTGCTAATTCTTTTTGGAAACGAATACAACCAAAGGGAGCTCCTGGTCCCAGTATTCTCCATCATAAACATTCTCGTCCCTACACCTAGAGCTTCCATAGTTTTTATAAGGTTGAGTTATTCAAAAGATTGTACTGTAAACCTGGAAAGCCTGTTTTTCTGGAAGGCCACAGTTTTAAATAAATGTGCCATTTGAATTATTCCTAAAATAACATTTCAGAAAACCGTTGCAAATATTTTCTCCTTTGAATTAGATTTTGCAAAACATGAAGATGCTACATTTTCTGAGTCAAACAAAATTTTGCTGTGAATATGGCTGATACATCTTAACCTAATTTGCTTTCTACAAATAGACAAGTATCAATTTATATATATATATATATAAATTGATACTTTTTTTTTTTTTTTTTTGAGATGGAGTCTTGCTCTGTCGAGCAGGCTGGAGTGCAGTGGCACGATCTTGGCTCACTGCAACCTCTGCCTTCTGAGTTTAAGTGATTCTCTTGCCTCAGCCTCCTGAGTAGCTGGGATTACAGATGCCTGACACCATGCCTGGCTAATTTTTGTATTTTTTTTTTTTGTATAGACCGGGTTTCACTAACTTGGCCAGACTGGTCTTGAACTCCTGACCTCGTGATCCACCCGCATTGGCCTCCTAAAGTCCTGGGATTATAATTTTTTATTTTTTTTGAGACAGAGTAGTCTCACTCTGTCACCCAGACTGGAGTGCAGTGATACGGTCTTCGCTCACTGCCACCTGTGCCTTCCAGGCTCAAGCGATTCTCATGCCTTAGTTTCCCGCGTGCTGGGATTACAGGTGTGTGCCACCACACTCAGCTAACCTTTTATATTTTTGGTAGAGATGGGTTTCACCATATTGGCCAGGCTGGTCTTGAACTTCTGACCTCAAGTGATCCACCCGCCTCAACCTTCCAAAGTGCTGGGATTACAAGTGTGAGCCACTGCGCTTGGCTTGTCTGCTTTGATTTATTCATTTTTTTGTTGGTGGGTAAGAGTGGGGCTACAGCTGGGGCTGTGGGGTCATGGTATCATTTAGAAGCCTTGAAAAGACTGAAGACGTGAAACCACCTTTTTGAACAGTGGGAAAGAGAACATTTCAAGAAATATAGTAGGATTGTCAAGTATGCTAGGAAGCCAACTGAGATTTTGGGCCATGAATTTAAGGAAAATTAATGGATATGATGAATAAGATCAGTTGAGCAGTATTTGGCTGCTCCCATGCAGACCCAGGGTGAGCAGATTGTTGGGTATAAGCAGAGTTGGAGACTTTCCTAATTGAATACAACAGAGTAAGCTCAGGAAGAGAGGGGCAAGGGCTTTAAGGATGTTTGCAAAGGAATAATTGCAAACATGAGCTGCAGCTTTTAGGCTAGCTAAAGAAAAAGATGTGAGGACATGGATAGCTGATTATAGTTGAGAAAATGATAGAGTCTAAGGATGAGAGTTCTTCATGAAATTGAAGAGTTGCTGAAGCAGGAGTTCTTGAGACGAGGATCCAGAAGGATGGGGGATGCTGGTCAGAGAATGGGACTCTGGATGTTACAGCATCAGCAGTGTGCAGCGATTGTCATGACAAAAAGAATGCCGGCTTGTCTGAGAGGGCATGGAAAGAGCTGAGGAACTGAGGCCAAGATGTCAGATGGAATATCCATATGAACGGTGAAATCACTTTTTTTTTTTTTTTTGAGACAGAGTCTCACTCTGTCACCAGGCTAGGGTGCAGTGGCACCATCTTGGCTCACTGCAACTTCCGACTCCCTGATTCAAGCGATTCTCCTGCCTCAGCCTCCCAGTAGCTGGGATTACAGTCACGAGCCACCACACCTAGCTAATTTTTGTATTTTCATTAGAAACAGGATTTTACCATGTTGGCCAGGATGGTCTCGATCTCCTGACCTCATGATCCGCCCACCTCGGCCCCCTAAAGTGCTGGGATTACAGGTGTGAGCCACCGCAAGCCACCTGGCTTGAAATTAGTTTAAAAAGAGACACACACACACACACACACACACACACAGAGAAAGAGGGACAGAGAGATGAAAAGGAGAGCAATGAGCCAGGTGGGGTGAGGACTGATTATGTCTTGACTCAAGGCAGGCCTGGGCTTCACATTTTTTGGCTTTCTGAGGGGAGGATATCTCCAAGAAAAAAAGTAAGAGGCACAAAGCAAAATGAAAGGAAAAAGCCAAGAGCATTTGTCCCGGCCCAGTGTTCTAGTGTGGTTGCCTGACAGTGAACTGCAAGTGCAGTGTAACCTTAACCCAGGAATGCTCAAGTCTGAGCATTCGAGTAGGGCCCAGTGGACGTAAGAGCACAGTTCTCAGCTCATTCTCCATAGGTACATGTGGGCTTTCTTACCTGCTGGGAGAATCCACAGACGTCATTAGACTCTCAAAGTGAGCATGACTCCAAAAAGTCAAGAGCCATCACAGAGGTCAGAGTGTGTTCCCTCTAAAGGGGAGATGAGCAAAATCACAGTCAACTGCACTGTACTATTAATGATGATAACAGTAACAATGATAACGGCTGATATTTACTGAGTACTTCCTTCCTTTTTTGTGTGTGTGTAAGGTGAGGTCTTGCTCTGTTGCCTAGTCTGGAGTATAGTGGTACAATCACAGCTCACTGTAGCCTTGAACTCCTGGGCTCAGCAATCCTTTTGCCTCAGCCTCCCGGGTAGCTGGGACAATAGGGACTAGGTACGAGCCACCATAACTGGGTAATTTTCTTTTTATTTTTAATTTTGTAGAGACAGGGGTCTCACTTTGCTGCCTAGGCTGGTCTCGAACTTCTGGCTTCAAGCAATCCTCCTGGTTTAGCCTCCCAAAATGTTGACACTATAGGCCTGAGCCACTGTGTCTGTCCTTTATTATTTTCTATGTGCCAGATCTCATGCAAAAGAAAACATGCTCACTGAAGTGTCTCACAAGAAATGAATGAAAAGGCATTCCATTTTAAGTATCAGTCTTTGGTGAGTTGGTTACCATGAGTCCTTTCATCAGAGACCAACCAACTCTCTGAATCACCAATCAAATTTACTTTCAGGACTTACATAGTGAACTTCCCTTTGGTGACCGCATTGATATAAAGTAACTAAGTGAGGCCTCTCTGGAGTCGTCACCCTGTCTCTGTAAATCTATATCTTATTGGTTGCTTCATTAGGTTGCTTTCTTCAAAGTATTTTCTTTCAATGGCAATTTACCCTGTGAGGCAAAATAAGTGAGTACTTCATATAGGAAATGAAAATAACATTAAAATTTGAGATTTTTGGTTGGGTGTCCTGGCTTATACCTGTAATCCCAGCATTTTGGGAGGCTGACGCAGGAGGATCGCTTTAGCCCAGGAGTTCAAGACCAGCCTGGCAACATAGTGAGACCTCATCTCTACAAGAAACTAAAATGTGTGTGTTTGTGTACACACATGTATACATACATGTATATACATAATTTGACGTGTTTAAGATATGGGGAATATATGGTTATTTGCCTTAATCTATCAAAAACTTCTAGGTTTGAGATACCCTTCTTACAAATCATTGATAAAATATGAATTCAAAATTTGTCAAGATTTTTAAATGATAAAATCCAGCTTTAGTAAGCATATAAAGAAACTCATGCTCTGGTACATTGCTAGTCAATTAATATAATAGCAGTATTTTTTTTAAATCAAGTGCTTAAAAATATTCGTACTTAGAAATTTTCTTTCTAGGTTTTTTTCTTATGGTGTAATTACTGATACAAATAGAGCTATATTTTGGGAGTATTAATTAAGTTAAAGATATTATTCTGAAAACAATCTCTAAGGATTCAGTAAGAGATTAGTTTAATTATTATACACCTGTACAATGGAATATAATGCAACCATTAAAAATTAGGTTGATCAGTCACACCACTGGAAAAAAAAAAAGAAAAAAAGAAAAAAAATTAGGTTAAATATTTAATGACATGAGAGGATATTAGTGGCCTATTAAGAGAAAAATGTTGGCGGGCTCAGTGGCTCAAGCCTGTAATCCCAGCACTTTGGGAGGCCAGGCGGGTGGATCACGAGGTCAGGAGATCAAGGCTATCCTGGCCAACATGGTGAAACCTGTCTTCACTAAAAATACAAAAATTAGCTGGGCGTGGTGGCCCGTGCCTGTAGTCCCAGCTACTTGGGAGGCTGAGGCAGGAGAGTTGCTTGAACTCGGGAGGCAGAGGCTACAGTGAGCCAAGATTGTGCCACTGCACTCCAGCCTGGCACCTGGTGACAGAGTGAGACTCTGTCTCCAAAAAAAAAAAAAAAAAGAGAGAGAGAAAAGTTAAAAACTGCATGCTTGGTATGACTCAATGGTTTTGAAAAAACAAATGGGGAAAAATATATATGAAAAAAGATGAATTCATAGCAAATACTGATAGTTGCACAAGGATAGACATATAGGTCAAAAAAATAGAAAGTCCAGAAATAAACCCCTACATTTATGGTCAATCGATTTTGAATACGGCTTTCTGGACAAATCAATGAGGATAAAGAATAATCTTTTCAATAAATGGTGCTGGGATGACTGGATATTCATGTATAAAAGAATTAAGTTTAACCCCAACCTCACACGTACCAAAAATTAAATCAAATGGATCAGACTCTGAGGTCAGAGCTCAAGTTAGAAAATTTGTAGAAGAAAATACAGGTATAATTTTCATGACCTTGAGTCAGACAAAAGCTTCTAAGATACAACACTAAAAGTATAAGAGACAAAAGAAAAAAATAGAAAATTAGACTTTGCCAAGTTAAAAACTTTTGTGCTGCAAGTGATACTATCATGATAATAAAGGACAATTCACAGAATAGGACAAATGATTTGTAATTAATATATCTGATAAGAGACTTGTATCCAGAATTTATAATGAGGTCATAATAACTCAATTATAAAAAGAAAAATAACCAAAATTTTAAAAGGACAGAGCATCTGAATAGACCATTTTCCATAGAAGATATACAGATAACCAGTACATGAAAAGATGCTCAACATCATTAGTCATTAGAGAAATGCAAATCAAAGGCACAATGAGATACCACTTCACACCCACTAGGATAGCCATATATATATATATGCACATATATATGTCTTTTATTTAAAACAATTCTTTTACACATGTGTATATATATATATATATATATATATATATATATATATATATATATATATGTAGTTGAGACAATATAAAGGTTGTCAGGATGTGGAGAAATTGGGAGAAGCTGGAACCTTGTACATTACTGATGGGAATGTAAAATGGTACAGCCATTTTGGAGAATAATCGAGCAGTTCCTCAAAATGTTTAGCGTAGGGATACCATATGACCCAGAAATTTTAGTTTCCTAGATTCTAAGAGAATTAACCACAAGTATTCAAACAAAAACCTGTACATGAATATTTATAGCAGCCTTATTCATGACAGCCAGGAAGTGGAAACAACCCAATGTCCACACAATAAATGGATAAACAAATTGTTATATGCATACAATGGAATATTATTCAGCCATTAAAAAAATTAAGTACTGATACATGCTACAACATGGAGGAATCTTGAAAACATTATGCCAAGTGAAAGAAATCAGTTGCAAAAGACCACATACTGTGATTCTATTTATATGAAATATCCAGAATATGCAAATCTCTAGAGATAAAAAGTAGCTTAGTAGTTGCTTAGGGATAAGTGGGGGGAAATGTGTGTTAGGGGAACTGGGGAGTGATGCTAATAGGTTTCTTTTTGGGGTGATGAAATGTTCTAAAACTAGGTGCTGATGATGGTACAACTCTAAATACACTTAAAAAACTGAGTTGTACACTTTCAATGGATGAATTACATGGGATGTGAATCTTAAAGCTGTTAAAAGTGTTAGCAGTAGTTATCGCTGGATGGTGAGCTTGTGGTGTTTTTTTTTTTTTTCATATATATCTTTTACAATAAAAAAGTGTTTTCAGTTGTAAGAAAAAAGAAACAGTTATTGGTTTTAGTGGATTATCTCAACAAGGCAACAGAGTTAAGCAGAAAGCTTCAGGGGTTTGAGAGCATTCTTAAGAGCATTCTTTTTTCTCTTTCTTTCTTTTCTTTTCTTTCTTTCTTTCTCTCTCTCTCTCCCCCCCTCTGTCTTTCTCTTTTCTTTTCTTTTCTTTGTTTTTTGAGACAAGCTCGCTCTCTGTCGCACGGGCTGGAGTGCGGCGGCACGATTCCAGCTCACCCACTCAACCTCCCTCCCAGGATCGAGCAACGCTGTCTCCGCTTCCCGAGTAGAAGGTGACTACAGGCGCGCGCCCTCACGCCCGGGTAGTTGCCGCCGTGTTGCCCAGCCTGATCTCCAGCTCCTGAGCTCAGGTGATCCGCCTCCTTGGCCTCTCAAAGTGCTGGATTACAGGGGTGAGCCACCGCAAAAGAAAACTGCTCCATTGTCTCATCTTATTTCCCACATCTTATTGTTCTCCACTGTAAAACAGAAGTTTTTTTTCCTCTTAAAATAACGAAACCTGTGAGTGTTTCTATTTTCTTTATTTTATGCAGGATTCATTTCAGGCTGAATGCCTTTCCATTTTTGACTTCTCATTACTGCATCACAAGAAACTTCTGCACTTCGAAATCGTAATTTTGATGGGAATACATTCAGTGTGCTTTCAGAAATTGAGCTTAATACTTTAATCCAATTTAACAGATTGTATTCTTGCTCTTTACTTATCCCAGGACCAGATATCATTTGGTTATAATCCCTTAACAGTTATAAATGTTAACAACAATGAATGCAGCTTGCAAAATAGGTTTCAATTTGACAGTATAATAATATGCTGTGAGAATTAAAATGACGTTAAAATATAAAAAGTCTACAAATTATGTGAAAGCATTGTCAAAATTAGGGATTTTCTGTTTATTACAGCATATTTTGATATGTTGATTGATCAATTATTGCAGGTAGGTAGATTATTCAGTGTTAGATGATAACTGGACTTAAGTATGAAAGATCATAGTTGCTTAAAAGAGATCTTAGTTGAAAGGCAGTACTACTCAAACAGTGACAAAAATCCATAAACATGTTATAATATCAAATTTCCCTCTTAGATATATACCATGAAATTTAAAATGACTAAACTGTGGGGACAGAGCCCGCAAAATCTGAAATAACTGATGGAAAAGGACTTGCAAAAGTTAAGAATTTTGTGTGCGTGTGTGAGACAGAGTATCACTCTGCTGCCCAGGCCGGAGTGCAGTGGCATAATCTCGGCTCACTACAACCTCCACCCAAGTTCAAGCGATTCTTTGCCTTGGCCTCCCGAGTAGCTGGGACTACAGGTGCATGCCACCACACTTCGCTAATTTGTGTGTGTGTGTGTGGTTTTTTTTTTTTTTTTTTTTTTTTGTAGAGACAGTTT